CCCCAAAACCCCAAAACCCCAAAACCCCAAAACCCCGCAATTAAGCATAATCCTGTACATTCATAAAATGATATTTTAGTAGATTAATTAAAATTTAAAATGGTAAGATAGATTTTTCTGGAAAAAAAGTTCAGGAAAGCAACACTCACCTATGTGATCTTCGGTGTGCTACTAGGAGTCATAGTCTATACTCAATCATCTGGATTGCCATGTGATAAAATCTTATCAGCAGGAAGTGATTCTGATGCAATGAAACTAGCCTAAGAATTTGTCCAAGAAAACAGTGATGACACTAGCAAACTAGTGATTGATGAAGAGTAAATATAGAACTATTTGTTCTCTTACTGAATTTGTTTTTAGATGTTTGAATGTTTGCATGAAGAGGAACTTCTTCGAAACAGCTTAATATTTGATTACTGAGTATTTCATTCAAGACCCCAAGAGAGCTGCAAGTAAGTACTTCTTTGATTTAAGTGAATTTAATCTCACACGTGTTGTCAAATCGATATTAACAAACTTTCCTGAATGTAGGAGCTGAAAGCACAATTAGAAACGCAGTTGAGCAAATCAAGAACAAATAAAACGAGGTACTCCTCGCACTTGAGAAGACTCCAAAGGGCATTCCAGTAATTAACCCAGCTTTCCAATGGGCTTAAAGCTTAGACAATGTCTTCCTGACTGTTAAGTTCGCTCAAAGATTTGACACTCCAGGCTGCTTAGATATCTTTGATCCAAACATTACAATCTCTCCAAGACATTTCAACATGACGGTTTACTGCAAGCATGTAAGAACTAGAGATGTTTAAATGTAATAATAGGATAAAGTAACCATGAAGTACGAATTGGATTTGCCATTATTTGATGAGGTCGATGTTGATGAGAGCAAGTACGAGCTAGGCTCAGTCGGTCGTTTGAGTGTTAACTTAGTCAAGAAGGGCAGACCCAACAGATGGAGAAGACTCTTGCATTCCACTGAGAAGATGCCAAACATGGGAATCCTCTGGGAAATCCACGAGAAGCATGAATAAACTCTTCTTAACCACACTCAGTTTGAGACTGATGAGTCAATGGAGCACTTGATTCACATCGACAACAGCCCCAGAAAGACCAAGAAAACCAAGAAAGACAAAAAAGACAAGAAGAAGAAGAAGTCACAACAAGCAAGTGGTAAGGATAATTTTATAAATTAATATATATAGTTGAGTCAGAGCCAGAGGTATCAGAAGCATCAACTGCTGAATCAACAGACAAAAGCGAAGAACTTTGAGTCGAAATCACTGAGCTTTGCTAACATAATTTAGCTTTAATTTAGATAAACATAAGTTATTTCATTCTGATTGAAATTTATATTTTCTGGGGTTTTGGGGTTTTGGGGTTTTGGGGTTTTGGGG